CATTGAATGAGAAGGTGTGTCCAAACCTTTGACTGGTACTGTATATAAAGCTATTGTAGACTATACATCTTTATTTCTTTTGTTTCTGCAGATACATTTTTCTGCAGAAACAAATCTGCCCCAATTAGAGTGAGTGGTACAAAGTCACTGTTCTACAATAGTGCATCCACCTATTAAGTTCCTTAAAATACACTGTAGGATTCTTATCAAATAAATCTGAGTCGCACATAAATCGGCAGGGTCGGTCGGAAACCGGAAACAAACAATATTTTCTTTTAGGCCTGAGGTGTTTACCACTTTATAGGATCAGGTCACATGTGAGTCAATTAAACAGCTATTAGTGGCTGATTTCTCTTTTGACTTGTTAGAGAGTCCTGGTTCTTGGATGTTGAGCCTAAAGTGTATCATGGGTATTGTTTGTGGTGTCAGGCTGTATGCAGTTTGCCCTGAGCAGTTTGTGTGAGCAGCCACCAGAGGGCAGCATGGTGCAGGTTTGAACCAGCAGCTGACAGGAGGCTGATGGGATGTTAAACCCAGCACAGATAACAGCATGCAGCTCGCTCTGTAGTATGAAACAGATTGATACACATACACACAAAGAAATACAACATACAGTACAGGTTGATGTGTTGATGGAAATATACACAAAGGATGCACTCTGTTTAGTAGAGTGAAGGGATGTCTTGATTCATTTTGAGGTCACCTGAGGCTTTTTGTATTTGTTTTGTTTAGATATTTTGACTTTTGTGAGTCTTTGCAGTCGTTTTGAGTCCATTTATAGAAGTTGTTCTTCAAGTCATTTTATATGTCTTGTGTTTTTTTGTATTTTCCATTACAACTGCAACTTGGTTATTACAACCTCTCAAATCAGTCATTACAACTTCACGAATCTGCTCTGTGGCAGTATACATCGACAAATCTGTGGCTTTGACTTTTGCTACACTTCTTGCGATGAATGTGTCGCAAAAGTAATTTTCACCTGTAGATGTGGGGGAGGGAGGGGGGGTTGGAGCGAAGGGGCGGAGCTATCACAACGACGAGGCTCGGGTCAGTCATTCAGTCAGGTCGAACCAGATGACTGCGGGGCTAACAGTCCGTGTCGCTACCAGTCCGCTGACATGGCGCGTCAATCAACGGTACGTTTTGCCCATTACTTCCCCAGTATTACTTTGAATATTATTATTGTGATTGAGGATTAAATCCGCTATGAAGACCACCGTTTTATATCGTGCAGTTTAGCGGCAAAATAACGTCAGTTAGCCAGCTAATGCTAGCTTTGTTGAATTTATGCTAGCTAAACAAGTAGTGGTTGTACTGTAGTCTATACAGCAGTAATTAATATATTATAGCCTACTGCTTTGGCACTAACGGTTGATAACCGTTTATGAAAATAAAACCAATTGAACTGTACTGAAATAATGACAAGTTTTATAATTGTCTTGGGCTCCTGCTGTGTTTTTAAAGCCTTTGTAAATTATCCATGCTATTTTCTATTTAGAACGAAGACTTCAGAATCTTAAAATCCCTTGACGTTTGTATGCAATTGTGCTAAATTCAACACTGGACTCAAGCATGACATTAGTTATTTATATTTTGCCATCACTTAATTATACGTTTAAAACATTTAAGTTAAGCTAAGGTACATGTGATGATAGCTAGTTAGTGCTCTTACCTGTGATGCCTCCTCCAAACAGCATAATAACCAGACTGTATCATTAAAACTATAAATACCAGTTCTAGATCCTTGACTTTAGACAAACAATTCAAAAGACAAAATGTATTTAAAGACCAATCTTTATTTGAAGGTGCCTCTTAACCTGAGATATTAGTTATACAGTAATAGTATTGACAATCTAAAAAAAAACTGAGCAACTCAACAGTCAACTTTATATTTCTTATTGTCTAAAGCATTTATTATTTTCATTTTTCCCCTCTCATATTCAGTGTGGACGGATTGAGACAGCATGGTGTCCAGAGAGCTGCAGAGACTTCAGGGAGAAACCTCCGTGTGATGGACGTCCTGTCTGTTGGTTTGGAGAGGACTGAGGGGCTTTCCTCTGTGAGGAGGATCAGGCCTGATGGAGGAGCCCATGCTGGGCATAGCTGATACCAACTGCACAGGCCTAGTCTGTCACTTTATTTGACTAAATGTGTTTACTTATACATTTAATAGGTTTACACCTTCTGTCCATATGTGCTTTTTATTTAAAACATGTTTGATTAACTTTTGGTTCACATTTCAATAAATTGAATTTGTATTTGCACTCCTTTTGTCCATTATTCTTACTGAAAATGTTAGATTACACATTCACATCCGACTGAAGATTGGCCCCATTTATTTGCGTTGCAAACTCTGTGGTACAAGGTACATGTTGTGAAGCTCATAAAGTGAGGCAAATAGAAATAATCAGCTGATGGAGTGTAGATGTGGAAATAGGTGCATTCAATCAGCTGACAGTGTTTTCACAATAAAAGTAGTTTCTTAGTGAATGTCCTGTACTGGTCTTAAAATCTCATAACATCAGCTTTTCATTTTCCTCTTGGATGTTCTTCTTGACCCTCGGAGAAAGAGGAGATGCTGAGTCGTGTCTTTCAGGCATGTCCTTTCTAACAAAAATTACAGGAAACATAAAACATATTATTGCAGAACAAGTGTGTTATTTATGAAAGAGGTGTGTTTGTGTTTAGGGGCTGTAGATATAATTATTTTGTAATTGTAATGTTTTATTTTATTTCAACAGTGAGCTACAAAGACAATCAGATTATGAATGAACAGTATGAAATTCATCAACATTGAAATGTATTTTATTATCAAAATAATATTGAACTGTTATCAAAACGTAGTGCAACTGTAGAAGCTTGCTCTGTTGTCTCACTGAAAGAATCACTTTTACCACGTTTTCACAGACAATATTGAGAGATAAATAGCAGTTCTCACTAATAGCTTTGCCTTCAATACCTTAAATTAGAAAGCTGACAAAGTAATATTGCTTGTTAACATGTAACCCTTTGCATGGAAAAACCCCTCAACTTCACTGATGTGTATGTGATCTAGTATTTAGTATTGTTTAATGGAATGTATATCAGTGTATTAAAGTCAATACTTCATTTATTTAAACCAATATATTTCTTGATTCTTTGTACAGTATGAAAAAAGAGTATTTGTACCTGTGCTGAAGTTCACTGCTGTGAGGAGTCCAGTTCTGTCTCTCACTCTCTGGTCCAGCCTGTCTGCATCACCTGGACACTTTAAACAAACGGATATATATGTAAAGAACCATGTGTACAAACAATATAACTTATTCTCTTCTGTTGAACATGTTGGATTGTGTATTTTCCGAGTCAGGGTCCTTTTTATTTTACTGTAACTTTGGAAGTTGTGTTACCAATGCTTACTGTTTATTTGATACCAATTTGGTAATACAATTAATAAAAACAACAAGATTTGGGGTTCTTCAGATATGACTGACGTTAACGTGTAAGCTCAATAATGAACTCCAGCTCAACCAACCATATTGTAATATCTAAGTAATCATCTTGAAATATGACATTAATAATTGTAATATACACACATCTTATTGTGAGGTTGACTTCACATACACTACTTCGACGTTAGCTTGTCTACATACTTGAGCATAGCGGATTTAAATTAACCTTAGCGATGCATACAGTTCCTAGAACTTCCTACCTACATAATAAAATATCTCTCTAAGTTACAAGGATGACCTTATTTTACCAACCTCAAACAGAAGCCGTTTGTTCTACAGTATTATCCCACTTAACGCTTAACACTTGTCTATTTCGTTTTAACCTTCATGTATACAGTCTATGGTTTTAACTTGCAGGCTACGATTAGCATCGTTAGCACAGATGTAGCTACCACTCGCTTACACGCTAACCCAAGCCTTAACATTCATTACGTAGCTGATTAAAATCATAAACACATAAAAAAACCGCATTCATGCACCGTCTGTTTTAACCGCAGAGCGAGTCATAACAGTCCGATATATAAGCATGAAGACACGGACCGTTAGCCCCGCAGTCATCCGGTTCGACCTGACTGACCCGAGGCTGAGCCTCGTCGTTGTGATAGCTCCGCCCCTTCGCTCCAACCCCCCTCCCTCCCCCACATCTACAGGTGAAAATTACTTTTGCGACACATTCATCGCAAGAAGTGTAGCAAAAGTCAAAGCCACAGATTTGTCGATGTATACTGCCACAGAGCAGATTCGTGAAGTTGTAATGACTGATTTGAGAGGTTGTAATAACCAAGTTGCAGTTGTAATGGAAAATATATTTAAAAAATATATATTTTTCTGCAAGTGAACATTTCATCACTAAGTTCATTTTTTTTCTACATGCCACAAAACTTTTTTTTGTATTCTGTGACTTCAAATTTGGTTCACAGATACATGGATATTTTATACAAGTGTAAATGTATGCACACAAGCTCAGATTTTTTTCTGCAAGTACTCACATCAGGTTTTACACGCTCTCGCATTTTGCACCATATCTACCTTCATATCGAACAGTGCAACTTGGTATATACTTGAGAAATCAAACTGTGAAAGTGAAACAATTGAGAATGTAAATTGTGCAAATCAAAGCACTATTATAATTTAATAGGTTGATTTGATTCATGAATGGCATTTATTTCAATTAAATATGTCTTATTATCATTAAAAGTGACGTGTTATAATGGATTATGATGGACGTAATGAAAAACTAGAATATCTTTCATAAAAATTAATAATTTGTTCGGCACAAAAATGGAAAAAATAACAACAAAACAAACAAACATGAAAATATATTAACATCGGTATCGGCATCGGCCCAATTGTTAATCCAATCGTCGGTATTGGTAGAGGCTTTGTGTCAATTTGTAAACTTTTTGTGTTTCTTTGTTGAGTAGAAAGGTCTAATTGAAAGGGGAGCATGGTTGGACATGATATTACCAAATCATTGAAGTTAACTAACGAGCTGTTGTTGATTATTTTCAGTTCATTCAGAGAGATGGACTCTGAAGGCAGCGGGACGATGGAGGTGGCGGCGCTCGGACGGCCTTTCGGTCTTGGGATGTTGTACGACTGCCGCAAAGACTCTCTCGTCCCTGGTGAGGAAAAAACATCACCTGTAAAAAAAGAACAACAACATTTTCTTTTTGCCCCCACAAGGAAACACACAGATAGAAAGTTATGAATCAGTTATTCCAGATGTCTGGTTGATAGCATGGATTTGACTTTTGTGATGTTGCAGAGTTGGAGGAAGCAGGTTTGCGCTAGCTTTTTTATGTGAGGCTCAAGTTCAGATTCTGGTCAAAGATCACAGGTTTCCTGAGTAGGGTTTGACGTTGGGGGGCCAGGGTTCTGATGCAGGGTTTAGAGACAAAGTTACCAGGAACACTAAGAAAGACCTCTGTTTGTCTGAATTTAGATCAAGAAGGTTAAGTGACATCCATACAGGCAGTCATGGAGAGTACTAATATTACCCATAATTTTGTCTAACTGAAGAGTAAATCTGCGTGTCGTCAGCGTAACAGTGGTGAGAGTCAGGGAACTATACAGGAAGCACCACTGAGGGAATCCTCATCTTTGTTTCAGTATAGATAAGAGACAGAGACCTGAGAGAAAGTTAGAAGTTGGAACTCGACAAAGGATTCTTTAAAAAACATACAGCAAGACAGGCAACAACTTGGCCCCAAATCTCATTTTAATTCAGCATGGAGACCAGCTATCTAGTATACTCCAGACGTTGATGAGAAGGGACCATCTTAGCTTTTGACCACCTGTACAGTAGAAGCCCAGATCCAACTGTTTCCTGCTGCACACGAAGGCATTTGACTTATATTTTGTTATATGGCTTTCCCTTAAAGTTAGTGTGTATTAAGGACCTCGATTCTTTCTTCTTCTTTTACAGGACTGAATTTGTGGGACCGTGAGAACCTTAAAAAACATACTGGAGAAAGACCACAGAACTATAATGATTGTGATATAGTTGCATCTGAATCAATTGAGGACAAATCTTCAGCACTAAATGTTGAAGCATCACTGAAGGCAAGTTTCTTGTGTGGACTGGTAAAGGTTGAAGGATCAGCCAAATACCTGAACGATAGTAAGACTTCCAAAAATCAGGCCAGAGTAACTCTGAAGTACCAAGCTACCACAAAGGTCCAAGAACTGTCCATGAATCATCTTGGAAGAGACAATGTGATACAGAAATCTGTCTTTGATAAAGGAATAGCAACACATGTAGTCACAGGTATCCTTTATGGCGCACAAGCCTTCTTTGTCTTTGACCGTGAGGTGTCTGTCAACGAGAACCATCGAGACATTCAGGGCAACTTGAAGGTGATGATCAAGAAAATCCCCTGCTTTTCAATAGATGGTGAAGGCTCGCTGAAAATGGAAGACAAGGACAAGGCAAATGTTGAGAAACTGTCCTGCAGATTCTTTGGAGACTTTTTCGTTCAGAAACCTCCGACATCCTTTCAGGGTGCAGTAGAGGTGTACCAAACACTGCCAAAGCTGCTGGGAGCCAACGGGGAAAAAGCAGTACCAGTGAAGGTCTGGCTGTTGCCTCTGACATGTTTAGATTCTTCTGCCGCTAAACTTGTCCGTCAGATAAGTATAGGATTAGTTGAAGAATGTCAGAGTGTCGTGGAGGACTTCAGTGACCTGGAAATGAGGTGCAATGATGCACTGAGAAGCCAAACTGCACAGCAGTTCCCACAGATTGGAAAAAAACTCAAAACCTTTAAACAGAAGTGCTCTGAGTTCAAACTGGAATTCCAACGAACCCTGGCAAAGAAACTTCCATCAATCCGAGGAGGAGGAGAAGAAGAAGCTGTGCTCGCAGAGGAACTGAGGAAGACATGTTCTTCTCCTTTCAACAGCAAGGACCTGAACGAGTGGATGGACTGTAAGGAGAGAGAAATCTCCATTTTGAAGTCGTACACCAACAGGATGAAAAACACCCAGATCGTTCCACGCGAAAATGATCTTCATGAAGAAATTCTCAAAGCAGAGCACGCTGTGTGTTTTGTCTTCACCTCGCTGGGAAGTGATGAACCGTACCTCTCAACTTTATCAAACTACCTTCAACAAACACCCAAACCAGACGATGCCCAAGATCCCCCCCCTCCAGATCAATGGTACAACTCAAGAGAAGAAATGGAAGCAATGCGGCATAAAGCAAAGCTCTTCAGTGATTTTGCAGAGGCCAACAAGGAGAACAAGAACATCACATTCCTGACGGTGGGTTTAACAAACGAGACACAGAAAGGTGCCAGCATCTACCTTTATACAGACGGCCTTTCTGTCAATGAGAACTTTGAGCCGCCTTCAAAGCCTGCAACAGTAACAGGAAGTGATTTAAACCACAACAGTGTGACGCTGAAGATTTCTCCACCCAGATTTGGAGCAGAGGACATCACCTCCTACTCTGTTGAGTACTGTGTCAGAGGAGAGGACGGCTGGAAACAAGAGACAGCATCCAAAGCTGAAGAAGTCACAGTGAGCGACCTGAGTCCTAACACAGAGTACATGTTCAGATGCAGGGCACAGACACCAGTAGGTGCCGGGCCAGCCAATGAAGTCAGTGGATCCATTCAAACCTTACCCTGCAGCCCTCCTGGAAAACTCCACGTTGAATCTACCTCAGGTGAGATATCAGTCAGCTGGGAGAAACCTGCTGAGCTCGGACAAGATGTCCACGTTTTGAGCTACATCGTGGAGTACGCCAAACCAGACCAACAGGTGAAAGAGGAAGATCTCCACTGGGAGCAAATGATGGCAGGAGCTGAGAAGGCGATCATTTCAGGACTTCAGCCAGAGACAGAATACGCTGTCAGGGTCAGGTGTGATTGTGGTGCAGCTGGAAGAAGCAAAGAAAGCATCGCTGTTAATGTCGGCACTACTAAACATGCACATCTTAAAGAATTCCTCAAAAGTAAAAGCAAGAGGATCAATTCTGAATCTCCCTCAGTTTACAAACTGCCTCTGACAGAAGAAGACATGGAAGTTGATGGATGCCGGAGGTTCAACTTTGGCAAAGAAAGCATGAGTGAAAATCGCACAATAATGCTTTTCGGAGCAGCTGGATCTGGAAAGTCCACTCTGATCAATGGACTCATCAACTACATCGTTGGTGTAGAGTGGGAGGACGATTTCAGATTCAAGTTAGTTGTCGAGGATCAGTCAAGATCACAAGCTGAGAGCCAGACCTCTGAAGTCACTGTGTACAACATCAACCACCAAGAGGGCTTTAAAATCCCTTACTCTCTGACCGTTGTTGATACTCCAGGTTTTGGAGATACAGGAGGAATAAAAAGAGACAAGGAGATAACAGAACAGCTTCTTAATCTCTTCTCTTCAAAGCGTGGCATCAGTGAAATTGACGCAGTGTGTTTTGTAGCTCAGGCTTCTTCAGCTCGGCTCACACCAACACAGAAGTATGTGTTTGATTCTGTGCTCTCAATCCTTAGCAAAGATATGGAAGAGAACCTCCAGGTTCTGGTGACATTCTCAGACGGCCAACTCCCACCAGTTCTAGAGGCGATCAATGCTTCAGGTGTCCCATGTCCTAAAACAGAAAACGGGCTGCCAGTTCACTTCAAATTCAATCATTCTGCCTTGTTTGCACAGAACCAATCATCTGCTGCTGCTGACTCCAGTGAGGATGAGGAAGATGGAGGCTTTGATCAGATGCTCTGGGAAATGGGGGCAAGAGGCATGAAGAGGTTCTTTGTTGCTTTAGCTAAGATAACAACCAAAAGCTTGACAATGACAAAGGAAGTCATCAGAGAAAGAAAGCAGCTCCAGATCTCAATGGAACATTTAAAGAAGCAGGTTAAAGTAGGGTTAGCCAAGCTTGAGGAGATTAAAGAGACAACTGAACAACTTAAACTGCATGAAGCAGAGATCAACAGAAATAAGGATTTTAAGATCCCAATAGTTTATACAAAGCCTGTTCAAATAGACATATCTGGCACTGGAAAGTTCTTCACCAACTGTCAGGTGTGTAATGTCACCTGTCATTCAGAATGTCCATATGGCAATGATGCAGATAAAAGAAAGAGTCCTGCAATGGGACCAGATGGAAACTGTACTCAGTGTAAAGGCAAATGTCATTGGAGTAAACATTTTAACCAGACGTACAGATGGGAGTATAAGGAGGTTAAAGAAATGCAAACATTGGATGATCTGAAAGAAAAGTACCTGAAGGCCTCAGAGGCTAAGGTAACTGTTCAGGAAAGGATAGACGAAATGAAGGCTGAATATAAGCGTCTTCAGACTGGACTGATGGAGATGATGCAGAGGTCTGATGAGTGTCTGAACAGACTAGGAGAGATCGCACTGAAGCCAAATCCTCTCTCCACTCCAGAGTACATTGACCTGCTCATTGAGGGAGAGAAATCTGAGGCCAAGCCAGGCTGGAAGCAACGAGTCCAGCAGCTGATGGACATTAGAGGACAAGCAGAGCTCATGGGTAAAGTAAAGAGAGGAGAACACCTGCTTCAAAGTCCTGAGCGCCCAGAGGACACCGGTGACATGTTTAAAAAAAAATTAGAGAAGGTTGTAAGTTGAACTGATCAAGGCCCAGGGAAGGAGGAAGCCAGAGGAACAGGGGGGGTGAAGTCAGGATATTTTGTGTCTTCGAAAGGCATTTGTGATTTGCTGTTGATTTTTGTTGTTGTGTTAAAATGCGAAGGCAAAGTAATATTTTTCCAGGCAAAGTTAATGAAACTGAAACAGTTTGAAGCCAAATCTTTAGAGTACATTGACCTGCTTATTGAGGGAGAGAAACCTGAGGCCAAGTCAGGCTGGAAGCAACGAGTCCAGTACCTGATGGAGATGAGAGGACAAGCAGAGCTCATGGGTAAAGTAAGGAGAGGAGAACACCTGCTTCAAAGTGAAGAATCTTAATCTGAGGGCAAAATCAAGACCAGCTCCAACTGAGACCAAGACAAGAGCTGAACATGATATCAAAGAAGAGACGTGTAAATACACAATTAAACAAGACAGGATAGTGAGTGATACTGATCAAGAGTCCTTGATGGCCAACGCAACCAAGTGACGATGACACAAATACTCATGGGTCATTTATTTTTATTTTCTGTTCTTACAAAGTTATCGTTTAACTGTTTTTTTAATCATGAAAGATTACATTTTTTAAAGCAAGATGGTTTGTCTTGAAGAAATGCTGAAGGAGCAGCCGAGAGAAGCTCCTCCAGAGTCCACAGTGATCACAAATCCTTTGGATCAAAACCAAACCAAGACCAAACAGATGGCAGCAAGACCAAGAGGAGATGTATCAACAAACTGGAAGACGTCTGTGTTTTTATATCTGAGATGATCTCACCAACCCTGGGACCCATCTACTTCCTGTTTGGCATGTGTGTTGCTATGGACCAGGGGGAGGTGCTGCCCCGTGTGAGGCTGTTTGGATCAGCGGTTCTGTAGGAATATGAGAGAACCCGGTCCACCCAGCGCTGAGGTGGAATGCAGTTCAAAGTGAAATGTTGGACTCTTTACTTCACCACTCTACTCTTTACTCTTCTGCATCGGGTACCTTTACATTTATTACTATAGCTTCATTGTGATTATACTTTTACACACTTTCACCTGTGTGACATTTTGAATGCAGGACTTCTACTTGTAACAGTATCTATACAATGTGGTATTATAACTATAACCAAAGTAAAGTATCTGAATACTTCTTCCGTCACTGATACAACACATGAAGTCCAAATAGACCCGCACTCAGAGCTCTAGTGTTAATCAATGAATTACAAAGCTTTATTGTTCTCCTGCACAAACATCTCCCTGCAGGAGCAATCTGCATGTTCTGTTTGACAGGAAGTAACATGTACCATGTGCATGAAATGTGGAAGTGTGATTGTTTTGTGCAGAAATCATTAACGTCCTGACACCATCACCACCAATGGAAAAGATGAAACCTGCAAGTTTATTAAAAGTGATGTTTATTTTCTATTATGATCATTTACAAATATCAGATTATTGCTAAATGTTTTTTCTGCTCTTCATGTTATTTCCTTTGAGATGTGTAACTCTACGTGAGTTTTGTTAATGATGGATTGTATTGCTGAGTGTCCTGAAATGATACGGTGGCTCCTGCTGGATGATGGAGACCTTTCTAAACGTTAAACAATAACTCAGACTAATGGAAAGTTTATTTTAATCAGAACAACAGATATGAGAATAAGGAGATTAAAGAAGATCTATCAACAGCTGAAAGGAAAAAGTATAACTTTTAAATATTGTATTTTTCACAAAGTTTGAATTTATTTCCATTGTAATCGTTTTACTGTGTTGTTGTTTTAACCGGGTTATCAACTTCCTGCTTAGTTTAACATTTAATTTACTATTAGTTTAATATTCTTTGAGTTTTAAAAACATTATACCTGATACTGATGTGTATTGATTATCATTTACTGACAGATGGAGAAATCATTCATTAACAATAAATAAATGTCATTTTGTCTCAAATGTTTCTGGCCTTCTTTATCTCCTCGTTTCAAAGTCTCTAAAACATTTACCCAAATACTGAAGTTCAGTTTAGAGGTACTTGTACTTTACTTGAGTATTTCCATGTTACCTTATATGTTACCTCTCCAAGTTAGATTTCAGAGAATCACTAAATCTCCATGTAATCACTAAAGAAGAACATGAGTAGACTGATTGCAGAGTCATTCAAATGAGCAGAACATAATGTTAACCTCCAATAGTGTGTCTGACCCTGCAGTGTAAACGCTCCCTCACTTTAGATCTGAGAATGTATTGAAGGGTAGCCCCTTGAGATGGAGCATCTCATCTTCAAGGGGTCCTGAAACATAAACACACAAATTAGAATAAATAAATCTGGTTTAAAGGAATAAATGTAATATTAAACTATCTTTAATAATAATAATGTTACCGGTTAGAAAGATGCAAACAACTAGAATATATTTCCAGGAGAATGAGGAGAACGGCGAGCCCGAGGTAGATGATGAAGATGATGATGAAGTGGATGAGGAGGAGGAGGAAGATGACGTAGAAGGTAAGCTAAAAGATTCTGTGATTTTTCAGGATTAAAGGTTTTCTGAAAGTTGTGCAAAAAGCGAATTGGTCTCTTCCAGCCGGCGATGAGGAAGACGAGGAGGACGATGACGATGAACTTGAGGGCGGCACAAAACGGCCAGCTGACGACGACGATGACGACGATGAGGTGCGCCCCCCCGACCTTCATCAATGATAATCCGACCAATCAGGAGCCTTTAACTGAACTCTTGTTCTTCTTCTCTTCCCGCAGGACGACGTTAAAACCAAGAAGCAGAAAACCGACGACGACGATTGATGCGTTTCCCTCGCCCGCGACTTCCCGCTGAATCACTTCCTGCTTCTCCGCCTGCGACCGTTTTCATTTGTCGCGAGGGGCAGGAGGACTGATTCAAAAGGAAAGAAAATTATAATAAAGTCAAAAAAAAAGAAAAATCCAACATGGTCATTAGCAAGTAGAGTTCAACAAACATCTACACACACACACACACACACACACACACACACACACACACACACACACACACACACACACACACACACTCGTATCCCCGCAAAACTAATTTTCTAGAGCCAACACATGGCCCCAGAAATCCGGCTTCTCTTCAACAACAACAACAACCACAACAAAGGAGAATTTGTTTGTATTTTTATTTACATTTTATATTTTTGTACATATTGTTCGGAGGGGGGGGGGGGGGGGGGTCAGTTTCTCTCTCGGCAGCGATCTCGTCCGACCACATCGGTGCTTCTTTAAGGAAGAGATTTGACTTGGTTGACTGTGTTACGATATCTCAACAGAAAACAAACCCAGAAGACGAACCTCTCGAAGCAAAAATGCAACACACGGGAAACCAGGGATAGTCGGTAACCAGCTTTATTAAAGGCAATAAGCTGGTAGGAGACGAAACGGCAGATAGTAGGCAAAGGGCTGGTTGGGGACAGGCGAGGGTTCCAGGAGAAGGCAAGACGGGAGTCGCAGGTACAGACCGGGTCAGGGAGCAGGCGAGGCAGAATAGTCCGGGTACAGGCAGGGTCAGGAAACAGCAATCTGGAAGGTAATGCGGGAAAGACTGGCATGCTGCAAAGTACGATCTGGCACTGAGGTGAGAGTGAAGTGGGCCTATATACTAATGGAGCTGATGGGTGTAACAGAGTGAGAGAGAGAGACAGGGTGTGACTACCAGGTGACTAAGGAATGTTAATGCAGAAAATAGGTGAGTGAGAAAGCAGACTGTGACAGAATGGACGGCTCCTGACGTCTAAGACAATACTACGAGAAAAAATAAAAAATCAACAAAATACCTACAGACAGGGTGGAAGGTGGGGGTATGGGAAAGGTTAGTACTCATCTGAGAATGCTCTCTCGGCCTCCCTCTCCTGGAAATCCTTGTCCTCCTCGACTGAAGACGCCTCCCCTTCCTCCTCGACGAAGCCCCTGGTCTGTAGCTGACGAGTACCCCCCGGCTTAACGCCTGGTTGAGCGTGGGTCCTAGAAGGCTGCTCCGGGTAACGCAGGTGGAAGTCTCGGATGAGTTGAGGGTTGAGGATGTGACGAGCAGGAATCCACTGCCTCTCCTCAGGACCATAGCCCTCCCAGTCCACCAAATATTGAACCCCTCTTCCTCTGCGTCGGGAACGAAGTAGGCGACGAAGGGTGTAGGTAGGACCCCCATTGATCATCCTAGGGGGTGGTGGTGGAGGAGCGGCGGGAATCATAGGACTCTCCCGGACAGGTTTAATCCTAGAAACGTGGAAGGTGGGATGGATTTTCATGTTCCGGGGCAAACTCAGTCGAACCGCTGCAGGGTTAATGACCTTGACAATTTCGAAGGGTCCAATAAACCTGGGCGCTAACTTCTTAGACTCCACCCGAAGGGGAATGTTCTGAGTGGAAAGCCACACCCTCTGGCCTACCTGGTACACAGGTGCCTTGGTGCGTCGGCGGTTCGCTGATGTGGCGTACCGGTTAGCAGACTGAAGCAGAGTTGTTCGAGCCTGCCTCCAAGTCCTCCGACAACGTCTGATGAAAGCCTGGACAGACGGACAGGTAACCTCCTTCTCCAATGCAGAGAACAAAGGGGGTTGAAACCCGTAAGCACACTGAAAAGGGGAAAGACCAGTAGCGGAACTGATGAGGGTGTTGTGGGCATACTCCACCCACAGGAGTTGTTTAGACCAGGTCGTTGGATGATCGGAAACCATGCAGCGGAGAGTGGTCTCCATCTCCTGATTCTTCCGTTCGGTCTGACCATTGGCCTGTGGGTGGAAACCGGAGGTGAGACTGACCGTCGCCCCGATCAGTTCACAAAACTCCCTCCAAAACACAGAGGTGAACTGGGGCCCCCGGTCGGAAACCACATCAGTCGCCAGTCCGTGAAGGCGGAAAACGTGGAGAAGAATAAGTTCTGCCGTCTCCTTAGCTGACGGGATCTTAGGCAGGGGTACGAAATGAGCCATCTTGCTAAACCGATCCACCACCGGCAAGATGGCAGTATGTCCGTGGGACGGTGGTAGACCAGTCACAAAGTCCAAAGAAATAAGTGACCATGGGCGACGTGGGACCGGTAATGGATGAAGGAGGCCAGCTGGCGCTTGGTGAGAGGGTTTGTGCCGATTGCACACAGGACAGGCGTTCACAAACTCCCGGGTGTCAGCCTCCAGCGTGGCCCACCAGAACCGTTGCAGGACCATCCCTCTGGTACGTTGAATCCCAGGGTGGAGGGAAAGTCTGGAGCTGTGAGCCCACTGAAGCACCTCAGCCCTCAAAACCTGAGGCACAAACAAACGGTTAAGAGGACAAGAACTAGGACCGGGTTGGTCCACCAAAGCGGTCTTAACCCTCTCCTCAATCTCCCAAGCGAGGACGCCGATCACTCGAGGAGCAGGAAGAATAGTGTCCGGGATACCGCAGGTGTCTCCCTCCCTCCCGAACTGTCGAGACAGAGCGTCGGCCTTCACGTTGCGGGAGCCCGGGCGGTAGGAGAGGAAAAAATGTAACCGGGTGAAAAATAACGACCACCTGGCTTGCCGGGAATTCAGTCTTTGTGCCGACCTGATGTATTCCAGGTTCTTATGGTCGGTCCAAACCTGAAATGGTTGTTCTGTCCCCTGAAGCCAGTGTCGCCACTCCTCCAACGCCAACTTGACTGCTAGAAGCTCCCGGTTCCCCACGTCGTAGTTTCTCTCCGCCGGACTCAATCTCCTCGAAAAGAAAGCACAGAGGTGGAGCTTCCGGTTCTCACCAGAACATTGCGACAGGATGGCCCCCACCCCTACGTCAGAAGCATCCACCTCCACCACCAACTGACCAGCAGGGTCTGGTACTTGCAGGATAGGAGCCGACGTAAACCAGCGCTTGAGGTCCTGAAAAGCCTCCTCGGCTGCATGGGACCATCTGAATGTTACTTTGGACGAGGTCAGGGCGGTGAGCGGGGCGGCCACGGTACTGTAGCCACGGATGAACCGTCTGTAAAAGTTAGCGAATCCCAGGAAACGCTGCAGCTCCTTCCGGGAATCAGGAACCCGCCACGAGGTAACCGCTGAAACTTTGGAGGGATCCATCTCCACACTTCCTTGACCCACGATGTAGCCAAGAAAGGCGACCGAAGAAGTGTGAAACTCGCACTTCTCCGTCTTGACAAAAAGCGAGTTCTCCAGAAGTCTCTGGAGGACTGTCTGGACGTGGTGGATGTGTTCTTTGAGGCTCCTTGAAAAAATCAAAATGTCGTCCAGATAAACAAAAACATAACGATGCAACATGTCCCCGAGTACGTCGTTCACCAACGCTTGGAAAACTGCAGGGGCGTTGGTAAGTCCAAATGGCATCACCAGGTACTCGTAATGTCCCGAAGAGGTGTTGAAGGCGGTCTTCCATTCATCCCCCTCACGGATTCGTACCAGGTGATATGCGTTTCGTAAATACAGCTTAGTGAAGATTGTAGCCCCTTGTAGTAACTCGAACGCTGACGAGATGAGTGGCAGGGGATATCGATTCTTCACCGTGACGTCGTTCAGACCCCGATTGTCAATGCAGGGTCTCAGGGTCTTGCCCTTCTTCGCCACAAAAAAAAACCCTGCTCCTGCGGGTGATGTGGAAGGACGAATAATTCCCGCAGCCAGAGAGTCATTGACGTAAGTCTCCAAGGATTTCCTCTCCGGTGCCGAAAGCCAGTACAACCGACCCTTGGGTGGGACTGCGCCTGGATGTAGCTCAATGGCGCAGTCATAGGGCTGATGAGGTGGGAGAGATGTCGCCTTAGTCTTGCTAAAAACCTCCTTAAAGTCCAAATATTCTGCCGGAACCCCTGTGACATCCGGAACCAGGTTCATATCCACAGATAGTTGAGGTGCGGCGGCCTGCTTGAGGCAAACCTGATGACAGGAGGAACTCCAACCTAGGATGGACCCAGTTGCCCAGTCAATGTTCGGGTTGTGGCGGCGGAGCCATGGATAACCCAAAATCAGAGGAATTTGGGGGGACCGTAGCACATGAAACTGGATAGTCTCATGGTGGTTCCCCGACATGAGCATATGGACCGGTGTCGTCTGGTGTGTCACCGTTCCCAGCAGGTGACCATCCAAAGCATTAGCCGGTACCGGCTGGGGCAACTGAACCTGTTGAATGCCCAGCTGTAGTGCGAGCTCCACGTCAATGATGCTGACATCTGATCCGGAGTCGATAAAAACAGCCAGAGCCTGAGATTTGCCTGTCAGGAGGAGTCGAGCATGGCACAAGGGTCTTACATTGGGGATCAGCTCAGAGGTTTGGCCCACCAGTATACTCCCCATTACTGATGAGCTCTGCCTTTTACCGGACAACGGGAAACAAAATGTCCAGCCTTACCACAGTAAAGGCATAAATTACCTCTTCGACGTAATTCCTTCTCCTCAGAGCTAAGACTGGTACGACCCACTTGCATGGGCTCGACCTCCCCGTACCGTGAGTCAGAGTAGGGGTGGGAATTCTCCGCCGAAAACGGAAGTCTCAATCAACCCATCCAAGGAAGCAGGGAGATCATAGGAAACCAGCTCATCTCTCATATAATCCGCTAATCCTCTCAGATATGCGTCACATTGCGCCGGCTCGTCCCAGCTGCTGCGGCGGCTGCTGGTGCGGAAGTCAATAGCGTAATCTACCACCGTGCCGGAACCCTGGCTCAAGCTCAGCAGACCTCCGGCAGCATCGGGACCCAGACGAACAGAACCGAACACCTTCCGCATCTCTGCGGAAAATGCAGCAAAAGAGGCGCAGGCTGGAGTCTGCTGCTCCCACTCTGCAGTACCCCATAAACGGGCTTTCCCCGTCAAATGATTAACGGTGAAAGCTACGCGAGGCGCCTCGGAGGCAAAGGTGTGTGGCTGCA